ATTTAAAGGCCTCATATGATAATGTCCTGGAAGAATATCTCACCCTAAACCACATGGAAAAAACTATGTCCCAAGAAAAACTCCTCTCAGGCAAGTACATGTCGTTCTACCTCCCTCACCATGCGGTCATAAAGCCCGAAAAACGAACGACAAAGGTACGAGTTGTCTTTAACGCATCAAAGATTTCGGGGTCCGGTTACTCTTTTAACGATGTATTATATACCGGACCAACTCTCCAGCCTGATTTGATGCTTCTCATCCTCAAGTGGCGAATGTATAAATTTGTATTTAATGGTGATGTCGAAAAGATGTACCGACAAATACTGCTACATCCCGAAGACCAGGACTTTCAAAGAATAATCTTTCGTTCACCCACAACCAGTCCCATTCAAGATTATAAATTAAAAACGGTCACATTCGGTGTAAACTGTGCGCCCTACCTCGCCATTCGCACACTTCACCAAGTAGCACAAGATGAAAAAACCAACTCCCCAATGGCAGCCCCCATTCTGAAGAAAGAAACGTATGTGGATGACATACTCTCTGGTAGCCACGATCTGGCAATCGCCACTCAATCTCTCACCCAAGTCATCCAGGCTCTAAACTCAGCAGGCTTTCCCTTGAAGAAAATAACAGCGAACCACCCAGACATTGTCAAAAATATGAGGAAAGAGGACTTGCTCGATACTAATTTTCTCGAGTTCGAAAAAGCAAGTTTCACAAAGACTCTAGGGATCCAATGGAATGCGCTCACAGACACGTTTTCCTATACGATCGACTCCATCCCAGCCTCATCTGCAACCACTAAACGACAGATTCTCTCCTCTGTCGCGAAACTTTTTGACCCCGCAGGGTGGCTTACGCCGATAATGATCCAGGCAAAGATTCTCTTACAAGAGCTCTGGATCGACGGAACTGATTGGGACGAGAAAGTCAAACCTCTCCGTCTTGTTAAATGGTCTCAGTTCGCAACCAATCTCCCCACAATCTCGACCATTCAAATTCCTCGATGGGTAAACTTTATTCCTGACCAACATGTAGAACTCCATGGATTCTGTGACGCCTCAGAAAAGGCATATTGTGCCAACGTATATGTTCGAACTACTCATGGTTCCAGTACCTCTTCCCATCTTTTGGTTTCGAAAGGCAAGGTAGCACCCCTTCGGACAACTAGTTTACCCCGGCTTGAGCTCTGCGGTGCTCTTCTCTTAGCCAAACTTGTCGCAGCTGTCCAGTCCCATCTCGACCTCTCTCAAAGAAAACTGGTACTATGGTCTGACTCTGAAATTGTATTGGCATGGCTGGAAAAACCACCCCACTCTTGGAAAACGTTCGTCTCGAATCGAACCGCGGAGATCTTGGAACTCGTCGGAAACGCCACCTGGCGGCATGTACGCAGCAGCGACAACCCCGCAGATATGGGCACAAGGGGTTGCAAGCCACTAGACCTAGCAGCGTCTTCGTTATGGTGGAACGGTCCTGATTGGCTATCCAAGCCTCCCGAAGAATGGCCAAAACCCCCAGTTCGAAATGTCAACCCGCCGGAAGTGCGAAGAGTGGAGGCACTACTCACCAGCGAAGGAGATCCCGACGATCTGGACAGGTTTTCCTCTTTCTCTCGAGCCTTGAGAGTGATGGCCTACGTCTTCAAGTTCATCAGACGACTAAAAGGCAAAGCGCCAGGAGCTCATGACCGCGCATCATCCCCGCTATCACATGATGATCTCCGCTACGCGAAAATTCGTCTTATTATAACCACGCAAACCCGTCATTTCTCCCGTGAAAGGGCCCGCTTGGAAGACTCCAAACCCATTGACAAAAAGAGTTCACTATTAGTTCTTAACCCCTTCTTGGATAAAAATGAAGTTCTCCGCGTCAATGGACGCCTTGGTCATGCTACCCTGAGCTATAACGAACGTCACCCCATTATAATTCCGGAAAAGTCCCGATTCGCATTCCTCTATCTAAAATTTCTCCATGATCTACTCCTCCATGCAGAAGTACGACTTATGCAGCAGATGACCAGGCAAGAATTTTACATTCCCCGGCTCAAGCCCCTCATCAAAAAATGCACTTATCAATGTAAATCCTGCACCATTCACAAACAGCAAATGCGCTCGCAGATTATGGCTGCCCTGCCGCCCGAACGATGCACCTTCGCTCCGCCCTTCACCACCACCGGTGTTGATTTTGCTGGGCCTTTTCAAATAAAAGCCTCCATGCTAAGATCTCCCACTTTAGTGAAAGGCTATGTGGCCGTCTTTGTGTGCTTCACAACAAAGGCGGTACACCTCGAGCTGTGCTCAGACCTGACCAAAGAGGCATTTCTCGCCGCCTTTGCTCGTTTTGTTGGTCGCCGTGGTTACCCCGCTAAAATGATGAGTGACAATGGCAAAACTTTTATAGGAGCCAAAAGAGCCACTGAAAAGGAGTTCTCTGTCTTCCTCCAAACTGCATCCCGTGATATTGTCCAAAAATACTCACCCCAGGGTATTAATTGGCAATTTATACCTCCCAGCGCCCCGCACATGGGTGGCTTATGGGAGTCTGCCGTTAAAAGTTTTAAACTTCACTTCAAAAGGACTGCCGGGCCCCATAAATTTACGTTTGAGGAGTTTACTACCCTTTTAATAAGAGTAGAAGCTGTATTAAATTCTCGTCCGATATCCCCACTCACCCAAGACCCGACGGACTTTACAGCGCTCTCACCTGGCCACTTTCGCCGGGGTGCTCCCCTCCTATCATACCCCGAATCTAATCGCGAAAACCTCTCGCTCATTAATAGATGGGAAAAACTCAAGGTTTTACAC